ACAAACATAGAAGAAAGTTGTATTTCCATGATGGAGAGCTTCTGCAGACAAAAAAAACTCCTCACAAAACATCTGTAAGAACATGGTGGAGATGTTAAAATAAAATCCAGTCAGTCATTTGCCTCACCTTATGTAAGATTAGAATCAAAAAGCTATTCAGGTGGCAATGCAGAAACAAACTGGGAGAACAGATAGAGATACAAATAAAAACTAAACAACTCTGTTCATATAAGACGATGATAACAAACCATATGAATAATGTGCACAAAGTTGTGAAATATTTAATTAACAGGGCAACAAAAATACATAAGGAATATATATTGCATTTTAATTAACTCTTTGAGTCCCAGGGTGTTTAGCACCACAGGCCCAGGGAGTAGTAAAGAGAGTCATAAAATCGGCGCATCCTGCGTTCATTGGGCTTCTAGGCAGAAATCTATGAACATATGATGCGTTCCTTGGGACTCAAAGAGTTAATTAATATGCTGAAAGTGGTCATGAAATTGTGTATGCCACAAGATACACATGGTTGGTCATTGCAGAATAATGTCATTTACCAGCATGTGTGTGTGTGCGTGTTACACATGCATGCACGTGTGCACGTTATTGTCTGTGGGTTTTTCTGCAGTAATTACTACCACTATTTTGATTAGATTTTTTGGGATGGTTAAATATATAAGATGTGTGTGAATATGTACATGGGTATGGAAAAAAGTACAAGTGTTGGGTAAACATGTGAATAGAAATGTGTGCGAGTGTTGGGTACACCTTTGCATGGAAATGTGTACAAGTGTTGGGTACACGTGTGTGAAACTGAGGTGTACAAATAAAGCAAGAGTAAAAAAGAAACTTACGTCACAATATTATCAATAGAGAGAATGCAAACAGTGACTCAATTGCTGCTGCTGGTTCCATAATTAGAAGGCAGATGTATGTATATGACTTGTGGTTAGCTTCCTGCATTCACATGACTTTCCACCAGTTTGTTTTGTTCTCAAATAAACATTCACTCACATTCTATGAAGCCTCGTTTATGCTAGTCTGTGTTGGAGAGATGGTATGAGATGTGGGCGGAGGGAAAGTGCAGTGCTTGTGTGGTTCGCTGAGAATATGAGTCGACATTGTATTGTTCATGGGGTCCGCCATGGTGAAGTGGCTAAACGCTTGCCTGCGGATTCTAAGGTTGCAGTTTAAATACTAACAGATCCAGACTTTTTCTTCCCACAAATGACCTTGGTTTCAAGATCAACCCAGTCTCAAATAGGTACCAAGTAAGGTACTAAGAAGTAAAGGCGGCCAGTGTAATGCTGACCGCATCACCCACCAAGTGCCATTAGGTCTATAAAATATAGGTCTAGTCCTACATGCCGAATACGACTGAAAGCACGAAAGAGGGTCCTTTACTTGTTTTACTCATTGTCCATACTGGAATCTGAACAACAACAACAAAACAGACAGACAAATAAACAGTTTATTGCTTGGTAAATGTTTCTACCTGTGAAATGAGATGTTTGAGAATGGCTGCGAATAAAACCAGAAGAGATCGAGTGAGAAACGATATGATTACAAGAACTATTGGAACCATACCCATCGTTAAATTTATTGAGAAGCAAAGAATGAAATGGTTTGGTCACCTAATGAGAATGGAATCAACGATGCCAGCATCAAGAGCATACAACATGAAAATCGAAACACCAAGAGGCAGGGGAAGACCAAGAAGAAGATGGAGTGAAGGAGTCACGGACAACTTGAGACTTCATAACATCACGGCATATGAAGCGACTGAGCGCGCCCTGGCTCGGTTGCCGATCATCTGATAGACTGCGACGCCTAGCGGCACAAACAGATTTTGACAAAAGAAGAAATGTTTCTACATTTCAGAGATACAAATCTGCAGTTTATTGTTTGAGTCTTCATTGTTCACAGTGACAAGGAAACACTGCTTTAATTATAGTGGAATCAATATTATGATCTAAGTGAACGTCGGGAGCCGCCGTGGTCTAGTGGCTAGAAGCTTGTCTGTGGATCGGAAGGTCGTGGGTTCAGTTCCTGATGGGCACCAGATTTTGTTCAATGACCATGGCTCCCAGAACGTCCAAGCCTTGAATGGGTATGTTGAGGTCCTGGGAAGTAAAGGCGACCAGGACTATTTTGACCACTTCACCCACCAAGTGCCGTTTGGTCTATAAAATATAGGTCTAGCCCAATATACCCAATACACATGAAAGGCGTAGAATACGGTCCTTTACTTCATTGAACATCTTAACTGAACTCATTACCAGTACTCCCCCGTGTGGGTTCCGGGGCCCCATTGTGGGGAAAACAAGAATAGACCCACTGCCTACCCAAAAGCATGTCGTAAGAGTCGACTAAATGGAAGCTTCCTTTAAAGTCGGGGTGCATCTGCCTGAGAGGCAAAAAACCAGCAGTCTGCATACAAATGAGTCAGATCTGTAAAACAGATGCACATGCAACACTCAGGTTCTGGAACAGGACTGCAGTTCAGCAGTGGATAAACAACCAGAACTTTCCGCCAGAGTTTACAGCTGGTGAAGCGAAGAAGAAGAAGAAGAAGATTACCAGCACTGTAGGTAAATTAAGTAAAGGACCAAAGTAAACTCTGTATCAGACTTTTAATAATAAACTCAGATATAAAATCAGTTTTTACGTATGGATCAAAAACAATTACAATCAGACATTACCTAAGCCTATGCAGAATACAAGGAATAAAATAGGACTGTGTTACTAAAAGGGAGTTTTCAGCAGAGGAATTAAAAAAGCATTTGTTTAAAAGAGAGAGACAGAGAGACAGTGAATCTGATAATGGTATAACTAGTATTTGCTACCCCAACATGGGGTGGGGGGGAGGGGGGGGGGGGGAATAGGAGACTAACAAATATGGCAGGGGGAATTATATACCGAAATTAAAGGAAAGAGACTGGGGGATTTGCAGGAGATCACAAGAGATCAGGTTTTGAGTAATTGTAAATGGGTCACCCTATAACTGCTATACTCCTGTGCCAGTATAAAGCACGGAAAACATCCATCTCTGTCCTATATGAAAAGACAAACAAACAGCAGTGTCTAAAAATCCAGTAGCTTGCACACACACATGTCAAATGTATAAGGCAGCTGTCAGAGGTGCCAACACCAAAAGTCTGTCACTAGAATTGGAAGCAGCGGTCACTACAGACTAGCTGGTGCATACACATTACTGCATAAGACATACTGCCAATTCTGTAGCAGCCAGCCATTTCTAGAATATACTGTGTAGAGCATACATATCCAGAAGTACAGACAATAAGCAAACCCTACAGAATTCACAAGCTCACAGTACCACACCAAGCACTCAAAATAGCAGCTAGACAACAGGATTTTTCCTTCACTTGGTTTCTCATCCTATCCAGTTTCCCACTGAGTTTGTAATCCCAACCTTCCCTGGGCTTACTGTGGAGAACAAGGCCTAACATGTGAAGGTGAGGCAGGCTTCAGCAAGAGAGGCTAAAAGACAAAAGAGTCTTGCACTGCAAATCATTGCTCCACTTGTACTGATGACAAAAGATAATATGTGAGTTGTGAGTTAGCCGGGTGTGACAACTTCAACTGGAATTGGAAAGACAGGAGAGGAAAGAAGCTAACTGGGCGGGTTGGTACAATTTCAGCTCTAGTGGCTAAATTAACGCAGCCAGACATCTGCTTCTGGCACTGAAAAGGATAGAAATAGGAATATTATAATTTGCAATATTTTAAGAATGCATACACCAGATCGAAACCAAGCACCATGGATCAAAAAACACACCAAGATCAAAGGATTGAATGTTGAAATAAAAATCAACATCACAGCACTCAGGACACTCCCATAAGCGCTCATCTTCAGCAGCAAGCAGAGAGTTCCAATTCTGATGGTACCAGTAACTGTCTGATTGTATATCTTTCTCCCTCATTCCCTTGGGTGCTAGGAGTGTTTCCTTTAAAGTCAGAGTGTATCTGCCTGAGAGGCAAGGAACCAACAGTCTGCACACAAATAAGCCAGATCTGTATTTTGTTTAAACAATTTTTTTTTAAATAGTTTTGTAACAACATGAAGTCCAGAAGTGGAAGAACAACCAGAAATGTTGTTTACAGCCGGTGAAAGCGATGGAGAAGAAGATGCACCGATGATAATTTGTTTTTAAAAGTTGTTCGGAAAGTGATCAAACATACTGGCGCAAAATGTATTCATTATCATCATCTTCAATTAGCAAGTCCTTTAAAGAACATTGCTCTAATCATGGAACGCCTGAAAGTCTCTTTCTCTAGCCAGTTCTTCAGCCCTATGTGCTTTCATTAGTCAATGCATCTTCAATGTCTTGTGTCCAAATCTGGAAGGTCTGCCTCTGCATCGTTTTCCAGAAACTTTACCCCCGATCACCATTCTCTCACCATAAGTTTAACATGGCCACAAAAGCTCAGCAACTGGGACAGGATGATGAACCGAATCAAATTCTCTTCAATGCTTAAATCATGTAGGATCTCAGTGGGTTTTCTTCTACCTGATCTATGGTTTTCTAGAAATTTGCTGTAGCATTTCAGTTCAAAAGTTAAGATCCCTTTCACGTCTTTAGGTGCATCCGGCACATGGGAAGAGCACCCATATTTTTACAGACCATTCGGCACTAGGTGGGTAATGTAGTCAGCATTAAGCCAGCTATCTTTACTTCCTCAGGACATACATCCTGGTACCCATTTAAGGCTGGGTCGTTCTGCAACGCCCCATACCACGATAAAAATCTACACAGCCAGCAGTGGGTTTCAATCGCAGTATGTTGCAATAACGATTTAGACTCGCATCGCTTAAGCCATGGACGCCGCATTTCAGTTTAAAAGCTCCGTTGTTTTTTTTAATTAGGCAACAAAATGAAGTCACATATTTCAGGTAATGAAGTAATAACAGTAACAACAGGTATTCGGATGATTATTTAATTTTTTTTAAAGCAATGAAACAAGTGTCTGCACCTGTGCTATCTGTCCACTGAAAGTAATGTGTCTTCTATGAGGCGACAGACCTCCCTGCCATGGGTGAAAGCTCTCTCAATGCAGTTGTCAATCTGATTTTCTGTCAACGGGGTGCCACCTGAGAATACAAGACATCAAATGATCACAGCCACTGAACTGGTGCAGTTGTGTTTTGTTGTTATTTTATAATAGATTTTAGACTCCCTCTCATGTAGAAAACTGTGGCAAGATGAACATATAGTCATACTACTGATACCGTCGGGATTTGAACTATGCATTTGCTGCTGAAGATAGGAATGGAGTGCTTAAGGAAATTTCCAGAGAGCTATGCTGGTTACTTTGATGTAGGATACTATGGTAAGGGGGGGTGTGGGAGAACAGTTAAGAAAGGAAGATGGTCACTAAAACCCATAAAAAGGTGATTACCTTTTAGAGCTTCTACATCAGTGGTTCTCAACCTTCCTAATGATGTGACCCTTTCATACAGTTCCTCATGTTGTGGTGACCACCAACTATCCAATTATTTTCGTTGCTACTTCATAACTTTAGTAAATATGTGTTTTTTGATGGTCTAAGGCGACCCCTGTGAAAAGGTCGTTCAGCCCACAAAAGGGGTCATGACCCACAGGTTGAAAACCGCTGTGCTACATCAAAACAGAATGACAATTGCTATTGCTGTCAAGCAGTGGATGACAAATCCCCCCCCCCCCTTTTTCCCCTGTGCTTAATGGTAGAAGTGGAAACTGATTATGATGTTGATCTTTCAGACCTTCCTATCAACATAGGAAAAAGGCCACCACCTGATCTATCACAATAACCAAGTTCACACAATCCTAGGAACTTGAAACCTCCTGAATAATATGACAGCTAAACTGTAAGGTTAGGTTTAGACGATGGATCAACATCATGGCACCAGTGATAACCCAAAAGTGCTTTGTTCTACTTCTGACTCAAGCCGAGTAGGAAGAATCTCAGTGCAGTGCATGAACTCTGTAGCACCAGCGAGGATCCTGAAATACTTTTTTGGGTAGACTTTAAACTCCAAAATTTGGCCCAGGCAGTGCCCTTAGGCTACTCTTCAATTTCCAACTGCCAAGGGATTTTTTTTTTTACGTGCTCAACAATACACCGGCATCCGATCTTACTCCCAGAGACTAATGTCTACGTGAAAAAATCCTAGCCTTCACCGGGGCCTAAAACCAGGACCTCCAGCACTTGAGGTGGACGCCATGCCTCGAGACCAAGCAACCCCTTAGGTTTACAACCATATGCCAGACTGTCTGATGGTGCCAACAGAATCTACATAACTGAGTACTTTTCAAAACTGGTAGGTGAATGTGAGAAAAAAAAGATGTTGACACTATAATCTGTGTGTTGTGCTAATTTGTCAAGAGTTCAGGTCCTGGAGGAACTGGAATTTTTTCCTCCATAACCTTGGCTCCCAGGTCAACCCAGCCTTGAGTGGGTATCAGGTGCAATCCTGGGAAGAAAGGATAGCTGGCGCGATGCTGACCACATCAACCATCAAGTACCGACTGGTCTATAAAATACAGCTCTAGCTCTATATGCCCAAATATGCTTAAAGGAGTGGAAAAAGATCTCTCCCCCCCCCCCCCTTTCTTTTTTTTACTTACAGATTTTACAATCCCAAACTGCACACTTCATGGCAAGAACACTAACTATATTTCCTTTAACCACAGGCTTAAGCAACCCTCAAATATTGTTTAATATAGGCAACAGTTGCTTTCTTAGCAGTGTCAATATTTTATGTTGATTACCTGGCTTGTATATACTGCATAAGTTGTCTCCCTCTGTCACAATAGTAACTGCCCCTGTTGCCATGGACTCCTCTTCTCTGGTGGGATCTACAAGCAAAAGTTTGCTGCAAAGATACGAGGACAGGTGTTATCTATGTGTCAACCCAGTAGAGTAGAGATTCACACACAAAAGTTTGCTGCAAAGATACGAGGACAGGTGTTATCTATGTGTCAACCCAGTAGAGTAGAGATTCACACACAAAAGTTTGCTGCAAAGATATGAAGACAGGTGTTATCTATGTGTCAACCCAGCAGGGATTCACAGACAAAGTTCTTGTTGTCAGTATTTGGGATGTTTCTTTTTGTCAAGAGGTATTAATCATGAGTAATCTTCCCTGTTGATGGATTCAAAGGAACAATCCAAACCGGATCTGAACACAGGATGTTGAAAACAGGGCTTTTTACAGCTGCGATGATATCTGAATCCTGGTGGTAGGATTCACTCATATGCTGGGTAGGTACGAAACCAGTTCACCACAAGAAAGTGATTCTTTCAGTTATAAAACAGTGAGTCAATGGAAATCCAGAACATTCCTCAGTCGAGCAAAGGTCTTCGACCATCTCACGCTAGGCCATCACAGTGTGTTGTTCCCTCCACTTTTTCCTGTATTATTCATGCTTTTACAATTTTTTTTATTCATCGATTTTATTTTTAAATCAACGAAGTGCTTCTTTTTATCATCACGCATATAAATATTTAGACAAATCTTAAACTATATGGTTAATGATTGGCTGAATTTTTCAACTTAGATGAATCCTAAAACTGGTGACATGATGATGATGCTAGTGAGACCCGCCTGCGGTGCATCTGAATGTCCAGTAACAAAACAGTGAAAATAATCAACCAGTCATAAGCATCCGGTCCTTGTGTGGGTTCCAGGAAAACAAAAATAGACCTAAGAGGCAAGGAACCAACAGTCTGCATAAGCAAGATCTTAAAACGAATGCAAACCCAAAACTCAGGTCCTGAAACCAAGCCAAAGTTCAGAAATGGACGAACAACCAGGCCTTTTGCCAGGTTTACAGCCGGTGATCAAAAAAAAAAAAGCATTAGGTTAAACAGTCCACATTTTCTGACCACGTCAAAAAAAAGGAAATTACAAGGCCATAGCGCTGAAGATGGTCAGATTCAAAAGCAGGGAAACCAGACACTTACTTGTCAAATACAATAAAAGTAGTTGCAACTGGGCAGCAGGTGACCTGCAATGGTACGCGGGTTGTGGGGTCAGTTTGGATGTCACCGGTCTCTTCATCAACTGTCACTTTAGGTAACACAGCTGGAGATGAACAATAACCACTTTACAGTAGACTGCAAACATTTAGCTAAAGTTAGAATCAAAAACTGTGTTAGGTGTTAATCATGAGGTAAAACCCCCCCCCCCTCCCCCCCTTCCGTTTATGGATTCAAAAGAACAATCCTAATCGAATCTGAACATAGGTTGTTGATTGCAGCCAAAATGATATCTTGAAATAACAAAATACAAATTGTGACTGAGTCATTTGTTAGTTATTGACTCCTTTTGTTTTATGGCTGTATTTGCAGGCAGCTGCCATTTACCTGGTGGGCATCTTCTGTTTACCTGTTTCTGTTTACCTGGTGGGCATCTTCCGTTTACCTGTTTCTGTTTACCTGGTGGGCGTCTTCCATTTACCTCTGCTGAGCTTTCTAGGCAGTCTTGTGTTATTTCTTGAAACAGGCCACTTGGCTAAATTAGACATGCTTGCTGACTTTTCAATTACAATCAAACTGGACAGCAACTCATCTATTTAAATATAAATTTTCATGTTAGCAATAACTGATCTGCTTGTGCTATTTATTATTTGGAATTCTGAGTTGTTTCTGGAAATTTTAGTAGTTAAGGTCGAAAGTTAAACATGGATGCCCTGCCCTCTTCAGAAGACAGAAGGAAAATAGTCATGACAGAAATGAAATGTTTACCTACTATGACAGGTGTAACGAGAAAAGATTTAGGAACGAGGATATCAGGAGCAGAGTCGGCACAGAACCGATACTGAACTTTATCGGTAGACAACAAATCAAATGGTTTGGTCATGTAACAAGACTAGCAGCCGGTAGGGAACCACAGAGAGCAGTGTTATACAGATACAGCGGTTACAGAGCCAGAGGTCGACCACGCAGAATATGGACCGCAGAAATATCAGAAACACTGAAAAATACTTTATACGAAGCGAACAGAAGGGACAGTTTCAGAGATCTCTTCCTGTCCTGATGCCGTGAGGCTACAGTTTGAGTGAAGAACAAAAAGTTCATTCTATTCAACATGCAGATTTATTTTGTGCAAAGAAAATTGAAATGGAACAAAATCATAGCATTGCGGTGTTCAATGAACAGTTTCTTTAGTTGAACAGCTCATAAAATACTTTCGTTTGCTTGAAAAAGATTATCTGTATCTGCAATATTATCTCTAGTATGAACCTCACTGTCTGTTGTAATTCACTCAGTGACCCGTAAAGTTTACAAAGTCCTTTAACGCAGATAATCAAAAAGCTGATTCATTTTACCTGTATTTTCTGCTGCAATTTACAGCCCGTAAATGTGAAGATGATGATCAAGTATAGGGACTTCATCACCACTGGAATAGTTTCACAATCTAAACTATGCACATTTAAAGCTGTTTAAAATATATTTATTTTACAAGAATATATTGTCACTATTCCGGAAAGTCTTATCATCATCATGTGCCCTGCCAACTGGCATAGGCGCTCATGCGTCTTCACATATCATGATCTATGTTTAGATTTTTTTTTAAACTTTTTAAACATGAGAAAGTATTCAGCTCTACCCAATGTTATAATCAGGGATTTCACTAAAAGATCAAAGGGAAAAGAGAATTAAAAGAAAGTGCTACACAGCACAGGACAAAAAATAGGGGAGACAGGTGTCATTAGAAAAAAAAAAATTTTTCGGACAATAAATAATGTAGACTCTGATCTATACAAAACCTACTAAAAGAAGCTGAAAGAAGTTCAGCAGCAGTAGTTTTTTTTTTTTTTTTTTTTAAACCATCCATCTTTTGGATACTAGGAAATATTGTAACATAATTTCATGTGACAATGAGAAATTCCAACTTTAAATGCAGCAAGTCGACTGAGAATTAAAATAAGATTATTTTCAACTTTAGTATAACTCCTGTTCCAGTGAAGAATTAGTAACTTGTCAGTTAGTCACACAAAATCTGAGTGACAATTTGAACAGCCAATCAAACCTACACTACAGTTGAAAAGGCCTCGGCCAATGATTGAACTCTGGCTACTCCACACAGAATTGACTACATGACTTTAGGAACTAAACAACAACTGTTATGTTTCATATCCTGCTGGGAGCCAGTATAGAAAGTGTTCACACACAGAATTGACTACATGACTTTAGGAACTAAACAACTGTTATGTTTCACATCCTGCTGGGAGCCAGTATAGAAAGTGTTCACACACATAAATGATACTCACTGTTTCTGAGGGCCGACACAAGAGCTACCATGCAGGCATCCATAACATTTCCATCATAGTCTAAACACACTAGATCTATGTGCAGAACCCAGACCAGCTGGAGATGAGACATTGAAATAAAAGATAAAACTATCTAGAAACAGTTATTTTGAAGGGGAAAAGGGAAAATATACTACTACTTACATCTAAAACTACAACAAATAATAATCTAGAACCTCTATTCTTCTCTTCTTTCTATTCTCTGTGCATGTCCTGAAGGCAAGATAAAACCAGCATTGTATTTATCCCTTATATTTTACAGCTGGTATATTTCTGTCAAGAGCTCCAAGAGTTCGTCTGATAGGGAAAAATATGCACAGCCGGTGATTCATCAAGTACCTTGCGGTCATGCCTCTCCATAATTTACGATCGGCAACTGTCTGTATCAGTTTGTGTATTGACACCACTCCATACCATGACACAAGGCTGTCAAGAATATTCTCCCACTGTCTTTCTCTATCTCTCTTTCCACTGGTCACAACATGTTCCAGTTTCCTTCTTCTCACAACATGTTCCAGTTTCTTTCTTCTCACAACATGTTCCAGTTTCCTTCTTCTCAAAACATGATCCAGTTTCTTTCTTCTCACAACATGTTCCAGTTTCCTTCTTCTCACAACATGTTCCAGTTTTCTCCTTCTCACAACATGTTCCAGTTTCCTTCTTCTCACAACATGTTCCAGTTTCCTTCTTCTCACAACATGTTCCAGTTTTCTTTCTTCTCACAACATTTTCCAGTTTCCTTCTTCTCACAACATGACAAAAGCTATGACTGTCTCTTTCTGATGTTTGTGATAAGTTTTCTTCAAGCCTGCGCCTCCTTCAAAACATCTGGGCTGCTCATTTTGGCTGTCCAAGAAATTCTAAAAATTTTTCTGTAAAACCACATCTCTGAAGTCTCTGACTTCCTCTATTTTTTTTTTAATAGCCGATGGCCATGTCACAGAGTTTTGAGGTATGTTATAGAACTAGCTGTCCCATCAGTTAACTCGCCTCCTTTCAAAGACCACCCCATGTTCTGGTCCACATCTGTTTATTCAATACATTATTGCAGCTAACCTCTATATCTAGAGGCCGCTTCACCATCCACCAAATGTGCCTAGTAGTAGGACAGGCTTCCACCACATGACACAGCAATACGCAAATGGTGATACAAAAACATGATAACTGTGTGGCAGACACGGTTAAGATTAAAGACGAAAAAATCAACTTCATTGCATTGGGTTTAACCCCACAGAGCTCTGTCACTCTCCGCAGAATGGCTAGCTACCAGTCAAGACTGTCACATTAAGCACAAATTCTGCAGCTCCGGTTAAGATCTCCAAGAACCTCTGTAAAAACTGCACTTGCGGACAGAACAATGCTGCCATGCAACAAACCCATGACCTTCAGAACACGAGGCAAACCCATAAAGATATTTTTGTTTGTGTAGAAATATTTATAATCTCTTATCAGTTACTTCAGGGTTTATTTTCTTCCTGTCCCATCTAGCAGCCACTGTCCCATCTAGCAGCCACTGTCCCATCTAGCAGCCACTGTCCCATCTAGCAGCCACTGTCCCCAGTGCTAGCTGGCTGTGATATCACAAACACCAAACCCACCCCCGTTCCACTGGTACGAACAACCAGAACTTCCCACAGCAGTTTACAGCCAGTAAACACACACACACAAAAAAGGTATTAGTCTTCAAGATGAGGTAGACAGACAGAGACAGATATGTCCTAGAGCTAAGTTTAAGTGCACTGCTAATTGAAACATTTGAAGCCACTGAGCAAACCACAACTACAACTGTGTCTGTATATCAGAGCAAACTTCTTAGGCAATTTGTAGGCACATATTAACGTAATTAATGTCTTCTCTGACATACAGCAAATATTTACTTACAACAAGCAAATATGAAGTGTTAAGACAATGATGGGTGATCAGTGAATTATGAACAGTTGGCAGATAAGTGAAAAATTTGAAGCAGTGGAGATGTGCTTTCATGGACAAATGCTGAGAATACACTGGACAAATAACAAGAGCAATGAAGATGTCTTTAAAAAACTGACTCACAAATGGCCCAAATCAGAAAGAGCCAATCTACATTCTTTGGTCATGTGATGATAAGGAGAAAACTGGAGTACACCGTGGCGGTAGCAAAGTTGGAGGGGATGAGAGACAGAAGCAGACAGAGAACAGATGCTGGACAGACATCATGGCATGGAGAAGCATCTGTGTCAGAGTTGACTGAATGTACATGTGACAGAAGGTTGTGGACAGACATCATGGCATGAAGGATCATCTGTGTCAGAGTTGACTGAATGTACATGTGACAGAAGGTTGTGGATAGACATCATGGCATGAAGGATCATCTGTGTCAGAGTTGACTGAATGTACATGTGACAGAAGGTTGTGGATAGACATCATGGCATGAAGGATCATCTGTGTCAGAGTTGACTGAATGTACATGTGACAGAAGGTTGTGGATAGACATCATGGCATGAAGAATCATCTGTGTCAGAGTTGACTGAACGTACATGTGACAGAAGGTTGTGGATAGACATCATGGCATGAAGAATCATCTGTGTCAGAGTTGACTGAACGTACATGTGACAGAAGGTTGTGGATAGACATCATGGCATGAAGGATCATCTGTGTCAGAGTTGACTGAATGTACATGTGACAGAAGGTTGTGGATAGACATCATGGCATGAAGGATCATCTGTGTCAGAGTTGACTGAATGTACATGTGACAGAAGGTTGTGGACAGACATCATGGCATGAAGGATCATCTGTGTCAGAGTTGACTGAATGTACATGTGACAGAAGGTTGTGGACAGACATCATGGCATGGAGAAGCATCTGTGTCAGAGTTGACTGAATGTACATGTGACAGAAGGTTGTGGACAGACATCATGGCATGAAGGATCATCTGTGTCAGAGTTGACTGAATGTACATGTGACAGAAGGTTGTGGACAGACATCATGGCATGAAGGATCATCTGTGTCAGAGTTGACTGAATGTACATGTGACAGAAGGTTGTGGACAGACATCATGGCATGAAGGATCATCTGTGTCAGAGTTGACTGAATGTACATGTGACAGAAGGTTGTGGACAGACATCATGGCACGAAGAAGCATCTGTGTCAGAGTTGACTGAATGTACATGTGACAGAAGGTTGTGGACAGACATCATGGCACGGAGAAGCATCTGTGTCAGAGTTGACTGAATGTACATGTGACAGAAGGTTGTGGACAGACATCATCATGGCATCTGTGTCAGAGTTGACTGAATGTACATCTGTGTCAGAGTTGACATGTGACAGAAGGTTGTGGACAGACATCATGGCATGTATCTGTGTCAGAGTTGACTGAATGTACATGTGACAGAAGTTTGTGGACAGACATCATGGCATGAAGGATGAATGTACATGTGACAGAAGGTTGTGGACAGACATCATGGCATGAAGGATCATCTGTGTCAGAGTTGACTGAATGCACATGTGACAGAAGGTTGTGGACAGACATCATGGCATGAAGGATCATCTGTGTCAGAGTTGACTGAATGCACATGTGACAGAAGGTTGTGGACAGACATGACGACCAACACCACAAGGCTTGGACTACAAGAAGAAGGATAAAATTCAGACTAAAGTCAAATATTACCTTGCCAGGACATATGCACAGACTTTCACTGAGTAAGCACTGGGAACTAAACAGGAAACAGAAACAAATGAAATTCATTAATTAACAGCCATCCCATGTCCAACATTCTTATACTGCACAAGTCGGTGCAGCATTGTTAAGTCTCAAATTATCTCAGATATTTTGTTAACTCTAAATACTCTAGCTTTTTATTATTTGCACGAACTCCCCCTTTTTAAAAAATTTTTTTACCTAAAACAATTATTTGCCCGCAATTTAAATATAAAATAAAAAGGCTATACAACTCACAAAATAAGATGCCTATAACATGATGCAGATTTATGTTCCTAGTCTTGTCCAATCCAATACTGAACAGCTAAACAATGTTCAAACAGCTAGGAATATTTGTTTAAATGCTGACTACTGATCATTTCTAAACTGATACAGAATGTTAAATTAAGAATCAAGATCACAGCATTCAGGACACCCCCATAAGTGCTCCCTCCACATCTTCAGCAGCAAGTGAAGAGTTGAAATTCCGATGGTACCAGTAACTGTATATCCGTCTCGCCTTTCCCTCCGAGTGTCAAGCGCCGGCCAGATCCCCTTGTAATGCCTCGCAGTGCCATTCTCCTCAGACCGTAATGATACATAAACTGATACAAAAGTTACGCTAACATATTTCTTGCTTTGGTGCCAGCAGCAAGCAGACAAATGTTTTCTCAATATGAGTAACAGACAAACAGATGAGTGGGACGGAGCCAACAGTAGAAGAGTGAATTAAGTAAACACACTGAACAACATTCACATAGACAAAAATGACAAAGAATATTTTAGACGGCATACAAAAAGAAAAATGCAAACAAATTATCAGCTTCAATCACAACAGACTAATACTAAACCACCACCACATTGAAGGAATACATCTACCTTGATATTAAACCAGCTTTTCATCATTTAGAGGAGTCACCACAAGGCGGGTTTATTATTCAAACTGACTAAGATAGTTCATAATGACTAAATTCATCACATTGTGATGACCAATCAGCAGTGTTCAGATATCCTCTACACTACATCTGAGATGCTCCGCTCATGCACAAACCCCTTAGCACAAGCAACAACCCCAATATGTATATGCCAGAATCCACATAAGGGATACAGTTGTTGGCAGGTTACACATTTTTTACATTTAGCCAGTGCAGTGATTATGACTTATTCTTCATGATTTTTTTTACCTGAATCAAAGATAACAAATCTGACATCTGTCCTTTTGTCTAATCCTCAACTTCACCCTTATCATAACATGACTAGTAGATAACTGTCTTGACCTTACAACAGGTAATAATTAGCCATTTTTGTAACACAACTGTTGTATGTCCTCTTGGCTGTCCATGGATTTATCAGAAATTTAGGAAAGAACCACATCTCAATGACCTTTCCTCTATCTAAGCAGTGAATTCAGATTCCTGTACAATCATAATTATAACCAGTATGTAACTTTAGTCATATGTTACATCCTATTCATCCCCTACTATAGTGCTACTTTTATTTAGTTAAAAAAGCCTGTCTTGTGGAGAGCCTTGTCCAGACAAATGATCTTCATGACTCAATAAAACTGAGAGATGACAGTTGTGCTAGCTACCTACTCTGCTATAACATCTGCCATAATCAGGCTACAAAACTGAGAGAGACGACAGTTGTGCTAGCTACCTACTCTGCTATAACATATGCCATAGTCTAGCCACAAAACTGAGAGATGACAGTTTTGCTAGCTACCTACTCTGCTATAGTCTGGCTACAAAACTGAGAGATGACAGTTGTGCTAGCTGCCTATTCTGCTATAACATCTGCCACAGTCTGGCTACAAAATGAGAAATGACAGTTGTGCTAGCTACCTACTCTGTTATAACATCTGCCATAGTCTGGCCACAAAACTGAGAGAGGACTGTTGTGATAGCTACCTACTCTGCTATAACATCTGCCATAGTCTGGCTAAGAACCTGTGCTTGTTCACCTGGTGGGCCCGGCCGAAAGTTGGATGAACATAGGGGAGGCAGCTCAACATTAGGCACTGAAAAAAAAAATTCACACGTTACAAGTGCATACTGAATAATGGTAACATCATCTGATTTTAGTTTTCTTCCAGAACTGAGTGTTGCGTATATATATGTTTTAAAGATCTGGCTTATTTGTATGCAGACTGTTGCTTATAGGCCTCTCAGGCAGATGTCCTCCGATTTGAAGGATGCCACCAATCAGACGACTCTTAAGACATGCTTGTTGCGGAGGCAGTGGATCTATTCTTGTTTTCCTCATAATGGGGCCATGGAACCCACTCAAGGAAAGTAGACTTGATAACGTTCTTTTTCACAGAAGAAAGACTGTTATAATTGTTTAGCTAGCAAACCTCTTTTTCATTTCTGGGTATGCAGCAGTGAGATGGTGTCTGCTGCAGCGCTACTCTTGTGTTGCTGTTTACCTCTCTAAAGATTTGTTTTGACCAAAGCTTGCAGAACTGACAGTGAGAAATACAACCTACCATCAGTGACGCTATTTTCCAATTCTGCCACCAAGCACCAAGGGGCTAAATAGTTGGTGGCCCAGCACTCTATGGGCTGCACTGATCATCAACATTTCATCTAAATGTTTTTAACATCATCAATTCATCTTCTTCTTGGACATCCTCTTACTCTGGTATCCTCCCTGTGTGGGTTCCAGGGCACCATTGTAAGGTGTACAACATGCACTAGATCTTTCTTGTCTTATCCACAAAAGATGAGATGTCTGATACACTAGAAAGTGTATAGCAGAACTATACACCACACAACAAACACACACCAGTTTGGTATAACACATTAAACAGGACTATTGAACTGGCGGCCCGTGGGTGAAATCCAGCACACAGACACATGGCAAGTGGCCCACATATCACTGCCAGTTGTAATCTCATGATGGTCTTTCTATGCTTGGGAATCTGGCCCTTAAAAATTCCCCATTTTCAAAATTCTGGCCCCTGAGCAAACTTAGCTGCATGGCCTTGATGGTCAGTTCCACGATAATCTCCCCACCGAAACTAGGTCCCGTTCCATTCATAAATTTTTTAGTCTCATCTGCTGTCCGGGGGGGTTATGAGTGGCTGTTGTTTCCTTTCTGGCTTGTCTCGCATTTATGTTTTTCTTCTGAGAAAGAGAATGCCTGTGACATAGGTTGCAGCACTTTCTAGGTGGGTTGTGTGTTAGATCCAGCTTGTAAATGTTTTTCTAGTGTTAAAAGCGCTGGCGTGCTTAAATATACAACACGCTATATTAACAGCATTGCCGAACACCCCCAGAAGTGTGTGAAGGCCAGGTGACTGAAGGTTGTCCAATCAAAAGTGAGCTAGTGTGGGGAGATTATCATGGAATTGACCGTCCTGACATAAAGTATCTTAGTAACACCAAGTGATCACATTTCAAGTCCACAATACACATAAACATGAACATTTCACACATGCAAACAAGGCTTTACCTATAAATCCATCTTTTGGTTGGTCCGCGTCTGGTTTTGCCAGTTCCTAAATTCAAGATTTTCAAAGAAATACAGTGAAATAGTATATCAACAACATACACACTTTAGCACTAGAAAACTCACGAATAAAAGAGGCAATACTAAATGTATTCTTCACCAAGCCACGAGCACCCGATACATTTGACATTTACAAAAACATCAGTTGCTCAAATGCTCAAAATGTTTACCATCAGCATCCAGATACAATGCGGTTAAAAAAACTCAGTGGGGTTGCTGGCACATGTTTTTTTATTTTCTCTCTTATATCAGTCGGCCGGCGTTAATGCTGACCACATTACCCACTTAGTGCCGATTGGTCTGTAAAAATATGGGCGCTCTTACCGGTGCGCATAAATGCATGAAATGGGATCTTTACTTTACTCCCATATTAGTGCTGATGCTTGGATTTATGTGAGCAATTATATCTTCTGAGATCACATCATACAACATACTCCACCATAACTTGATCTAACTTTGACAATTGTATATATAGATATCTGTTAAAGTCAGCATACATTTCTTAGTGGATTGAGTGTTAATGAAACATTTCCTGAAACATAATGGACACACACACTGGTGGCTTAACACAACTGATGCAACAACAAAAATAGTGCGAATGACATTCATGTGACATTTCTATTGACATCAGCTTATTGTTCAGGACCCAGTGGAATCTTGTAGTTAGTAAAAAGTAAAAGATCCTTTTTCATGCCTTCAGGCTCCTCCTCTACAATCTACCTGTGCCAGCAACCATCCTCACCATGTAGCAGGTCCTTTGCAGAACGTCGCTCTCATCACGGTCTGCCTGAGAGAAAAATCGGTCTCTCGCCAGCTCTCGTCTCATATACTTTCATACTCAAGGAGGTTCTTATATCCTGTGCTCATCTTCACGTTAGTCGGCCCCTGTCCCTCCTTTCCAGCACCATGCTTTATGCTATTATGTTTTCTGGCATTGTGCTTGACATGAAAAAATATTTAAGTTTCCAAGACAAGATCCAGCAACCATCAACCACAAAGATAAAGTTATTCTGTATATTTTATAGTATATATTTCTGTCACACATACATCTATACAAAAGTAGACAGCAAAAAACCGATATGCTTCTGAGGTGGCGAATGGATTAATTGGATCAGCATCGATTTGAATGGTAAAAATTGTTTGGTTTGCGAACAGTGTCAAATAATGTTAAATTTGTGACACCAGGTACCATTGAATTATAATCAACATTCTATGCAGAGATGACCAATATTTCTGACATAAATTAATTAGGCAAATATACTTACTGCTTTAACCCCACATATCACTGTTGTGTTTCCAATCTTTATCAGAGCGGACCCCTCAGCTGTTGTTACACATCCTATTCATGATATGCAGGAACAGTACATAAGTTAATGTCCTGTTATTTGTGATATGGTATATAGAGCAAAGACATTTATCATGTTTAAAAACAACTGAAAGGCTACTTAATTTTAAAGACATTTCAATAAAGCTGGGGGTTTTTTTATGTGAACACTCAACCAAAACATGTTTGCTGCATGTTGTTGCATGCCTAAACAATGCTTGTTAATCTGATAATAAATCAAATCTGTGTTACGTCAGTGTATCTCCAAGGTCAATAAAATCTACCATAACATTGCTGAAATTTGCTTTTCATGTGCAAGTCATGACTATAGTGAACATATGTCACCCGCTTCCCAAAAGGAACGGGCAATGGGTATGTTTGTAACATTTACCATTTTAGCCATGGCCCAGCAAAGATGTTTGACCAACGCTGACAGATTGAGAGCTATAGCGTGGCTGCAGGCGGGTGTAGGGTTACAGGTACTTGCTAGGAGATAAGGAGTTGCTCATTCTGTCATAAAACATCTGGGTGATCATTATAATGCAACTGGCAGAAGAACATAGGTCAGGACATCTGAGGTCTGCCACAAACTTGGTCTTTCAATTTTGTTTAAGCAGTAAATAATGATGTAGCCTAATATAATTTTTTTAATCTTAAGCATTACGATATCGTCTGACCCACGCACAGTTGATGGCAAATTAACAAAGCCAACCCTGAGTTTGTTTCTCCTCACTTTAATAGAGAGAGAGAGGGGGGGAGGTAGGTAGGTAGGGAGGGAGAGAGAGAGAGAGAAAGGAGAGAGAGAAAGAGAGAGAGAGAGCGCACGCACATGTTTGTAAATTCATATGTAAATGAAGATATGTAGCAAACAAAAACCTACAAATGTTACTGACAAAAATTAAAATTTCAAAATTAGTTTTTGAATGTGTCATTGCCACTGATAGCGAGTGAGGCCTTTAGTATCATCATGCACACTTTAACGTGGCCTGAAGATGAAGCAATAAGTTCTTAAGGTGGGTTTCAGGACCCTATCTCAGGGAGGGGGTGGGGGGAAGAGGGGAGGGGGGTATAGACCTACTGCCAACCTAACAACTGTGTCGTAAAGAGAAGTTTCCTTCAAAGTAGGTGTGCATCTGTTTGAGAGGCAAGAGACCATCAGTCTGCATTTAAAGGAGTCAGATCTGAAAAACAGATGTGCATGCAAAACTCAAGTTCCAGAACAAGACTAAAATCCAAAAGTGGCCAAACAAAAAGCACTTTCCGCATGAGTTTATAGCCGGTGAATGCGAAGAAGAAACAATAAGTCATTTCCAGGAAATGACCCCGATGAGCCCTTAGAGTTACCCCCAGGGCAACAGGTGTCTGTTTTTGATCAGTAATATTATGAATCACTATTTACAACATGCCTAAAGCTGGGCTGAAATCAATCTCCAACATTATCTATGTCTAGCTAACACACTGATAAATGGATGTCAGTCCTCCCGTCACATACATGCACACATTATTTTCTTTCCCCAGCATCATGCTGTGCTGCAGCTTCCTCCATTCTGTACTATCCTGTGCAATCATGCAAGGAATCAAGTCCGCAACCTCTAACTTTTCTCATCAACAATCATTGTAGAGTTTATATTGGATGTCCTTACTTCCTCAATCTATCTGCTTTTCATTTCAGTACCTGGCTAATATTTTTTTCTTTCTCCTCTTAAGCATGAACACAATATACACCATCACAAGCACCCCATCTTCTGTCACTTAAAAATTGTTATACCAAAATTTCTTATTATACACCTTTATTTTTCCTATTTAAATTTACCCCTTTCTTCAATTTCTCCATTGTGCATTTGTTTCTGCTGCATTCAACTTTCATTCCTTATCTTTTAGTAGTCCTTCAACTTGCATGTATATATGTTAAAACTGAATTAAAAGTTAAATAATTTAAAGTTTCACATTCTGCTACCATTACTGCTTATGTGATTATGCAAATTAAACTTGTTTCAATCAAAAGTATACAACTACCTATGTTCAAAACCACTGGTCGAAACTCTGCGAGCTCTCGATTATCTGGTCTGACATCTTTTTCCTGTAATAAAAATGTTACAAATTTTAGTTGTTTATATCAAACAGCAATATACTACATAATGTAATTCAATGAAAAAGGAATACAAAACAGTGGCCAAAAGATTAAACAGAGAATAATTCTGCCATATCAGCAACATACGAAAAAAGTTATGTACTTCTGAATACACTCAAGTACAAATCAGAAGAAATCTTTTCAGAAGAATAAGCTGGTTTTAAATCAAAATGAAGTAGCCCAAACATGAGTTCAAGTCATCGGAAAACATTCAGGTGACTAACACCATAACTTCATATATTTCACAAACGCCTTTCATGGAGTCTGATGCTTCTTTTTCTTTTTCAGTGTAACAGCCGCTGAGGTTCCCTGTAACAGATAACACATTTCTCCATTCATCTCTTTGACTGGCCTTTTTTTTTCCAGCTAGTTACTCCAAGTGTGGGCACATTTTAACCTGTCTGTTTTCTGCCACTCTCTTTGTACCCTAACCAATGCAGTACATTTGCCCTCATTATGCAAGTAATTAATGGGATTTTCACGTTTGCTTATGATAAATAATAAGAAAATTCAGTTCTGATACAGACAGAAATAAAGAGATTGTAATGTTTTTTATTGCCAATTAACAAAGTATTTTAATGTCTCTGGTAGGCACACAACACTTCCTCTTTATGCTTTTGCATATAAAAAAACTGTTATGTCCTGTACAGTGATCAGGGGAAGAAGAGTATCCTTTGTGTTTCATTGGTTTTTGTTTGTTTTTTCAATCAACCCCAGCTGGATTTGTCAACATCATCATCATCATAAACCACTTCTGCCATTAAGCGTCATGAGGAGGAATAATTTGTGATCCAGTGCACGCTGGTTGGTACCGGCTTTGAAGGTATAGAGCGTCTTTAGTGTTGTTGATCCAGATTTTGCTTTTATAGCTGATCTTTTGAAATCTATTGTGATGGTATTTGATGTGGCTGCCTTCTAACGAGATGGCCAAACCACTTGGTCTGCTGTTTCTTGATGAATCTAGTACATGGTGTCGTTCTCACAATCTATCTGAAAGTATCAGTATAGCTGGATTTGTACCTTGTTGAAATGGCACTGTTAAGTCTGTTTAACCTTTCAACTGAAGAATTCATATAAAATACAAACTTAAAAATATTTAAATCCAATAATGTATTACCTCTTTTAAGTTTTATGTGAATAAGATAATCCTGTATTCCCCATTATGGTTACAAGATGGCTGATCTGACATACCCTCTACCTTCCTGGACTGGTTACAGGATACCTGATACGACATACTCTTTAACTTCCCCGACTGGTTACAAGATACCTGATCTGACACACCCTTTACCTTCCCGGAATTGGTTACAAGACACCTGATCTAACATACCTTCTACCTTCCTGGACTGGTTACAAAAACCTGATATGACATACCCTTTACCTTCCCCGACTGGTTACAAGATACATGATTTGACATACCCTATACCTTCCTGGACTGGTTACAAGATACCTGATCTAACATATCTTTACCTTCCCAGATAAATCTTGAGGTTGTATGCAGGGTTTGGTAAATGCTATAGCTGTGTATCATGTCCTTCACTGGCAACTGAACTAATACCATTATGATGATTATTTATAAGTAGAGTAATTTTTAGGTAACTTACCAAAAATCTTTTGTAATATTCCTTTGGCTGCACAATTCTGAAAAAAAAAAGAATAGATGAAGGCAGAATAAAGTTCTATTCAAACAAACTAATCAGTCACAAAATGTTGATAGTCAAAATATGCTGTAATGCTGAAATAATCCCAGCGTGGGAGCCCGTCCTGCAAGATGCATATGAAAAACATTTGGAGGGGAGGTGATTTGTGATCTCTAAAATATTTTTCAGCTCATTGATCTGGCCATCAGTTCATAAGAACTTACAGATTTAAGAATCAATATCACAACAAACCGGGCATACTTATAGCCGCTACGCAGCAAGTTTCTTTTTAAGGAGGTGTAGATGCTAATTCACAAGGCTATCCTCTGAATAACTATAACAGTCCCAAATTATCAAGGCCAAAAATATACCCTAACAGGGCCTCAGTCACGTGTCAATTGCAAACTTCCAGGGACTATACCACAACCGCTGAATTGCGGCCTTCCGGGGACTATGCCGCCAACCTTGAGAGTATCCCCGCGCCGCTCACGCTGCATGGATTGGGGCGTAACTAGATCGCTGAGCAAACAAAAAATTAAGGAAGCTGCAGGAGATGCAGTACCTGCTGTTCGTGAGTCCCAGCCATCTAGTTTAGCCCCAATCCAGGACGCGCGAGCGGTGTGGGGGATACTCTAGGCAGCGGTGGAAGTCACCGGAAGTACGCAATTTGAGTCGCCGGATGTCCACAATTGACAAGTGACTGAGGCCCTGTTTCGGTATATTTTCGGCCTCGATAATTTTGGACCGTTATTCGGAGGATAGCCAATTACAAATGTTCCTGTAACATAATGATTATGAAATCATTGTTCGCTTCCTCTTATGTTCCTCCTTGCTTATCCTAATACTAATTCCTCATTTACACACTCAAACTCAGGTTGTTATTTCCTTTAACCTCAAGATTTCTATCAGCTTCAGCTGTTTCATAAATGGTCTTCAGAAAGTCTCCTTTCTCTAGTTAGCACTACTGTACAAACTACAAGTGTTCATGTAGCTATTGCTAGCGATAACAATTTCCAATGTAAACAAAGCCAAAACGAAAGTTGCGCAATTTGGTTGCGCAGAGGGATCCGCGGACCCGTGAAAATGTTTTGTTTCATAACGAATTATAAATTAATTTTTTTGATTGCGATTCTAGCAGTTCAGAAGTGATGACATGCGCTCTTGGTCATTCAGAAGAGGCCACTCGTATCGAACGACGCCTAAATTAGATAGCGATCTTTACTGAGCGTAATAAATTTCACGGCTCTACTGGCAAATCCGGACGAAGAATAAACAGACTTGGACGACTTAGTCAGAGTTATCTCCCGTCGCCGCACTCCGAACAGTAATCGGAAAACAAACGAAACAAACGACAAACTTACCTATCATCCTGCGGTTGCGTGTAGGGCTGCGTACGGTTGCGTGAGACATCGTGGCATCATCATATGGTTGCGTGCACAGTTGCGTACGGTTGCGTGAGGCATTGTGAATGGTTGTGTAGTCATCATCATGCGGTTGTTGGATTAGAGTTAGGGGTAGGGTTAGGATTAGGGGTAGGGTTAGGGTTAGGGGTAGGGGTAGGGTTAGGGTTAGGGTTAGGGGTAGGGTTAGGGTTAGGGGTAGGGTTAGGGGTAGGGTTAGGGGTAGGGTTAGGGTTAGGGGTAGGGGTAGGGTTAGGGGTAGGGTTAGGGGTAGGGTTAGCGTTAGATGTGAAAATTTTGACGTAGGATTTCGAAATACTGGCCGACAATATGATGTTTGTGGGAGTGGCGCCACTGAAACTCTGCCAAATATGACGCCAATAGCGTGCGGCTGGTGCCCCCAATCGTTGGCGAATTGTGCGTGTGACCAGCATCCAGAGGCCCTCGATTGTTTGTTTGTGTGTATGGGACTGTGCGCTATTATAGGGAACTCCGGCGTCAAAATTGTCAAATCTAACGCTAATCCTAACCCTACCGCTAACCCTAATCCTAATCCTAACCCTAACCCTAACCCCTACCCCCCTAACCACGCAAATTTATCGATCATTAAAGCATACAAATCGGCAAACACCAACAAACAAAACACACCCCAAAAAAAACCCACCCAGAATTGTCCTGCAGCGTCGAAAAAAAACCTAGATCTGGGGGAAACAACCAAGCATTGGCAGCCCTGATGTCGACGTGACTGTCTTCTTTGTTTCGTTGTGGATTTTCCGATCACTGTTTGGAGTGCGGCGACGGGAGAGAACTCTCACTAAGTCGTCCAAGGCTGTTTATTCTTCGTCCGGATTTGCCAGTAGAGCCAATTTCACTATTTGTCATGAGGTAACTTAATTTCATTAATATCTCCTTTTTAAAGTGAATATATATACTATTAAGTGTCATTTTTGGATTCTGTGTCCATTTTTACATAAAGATGTGCAGTTTTGCTGGAATCTGTATATCACAAAATTTACAGTTTAAATTTCTTCCCGGTCACTAAATCGGCGATTTTTCAAAATGGCTACCGCATGGCCTAAACGAACTGTTTATTTCAGATTAATTAATCTAGTTATTTATAGAAACAGTTAAAAAATAATGCAAGTTTTGTTTGTATTTATAATTTATCTTTCTTTAACTTTAATTTCACATGAGTTTTAATAATTTTAGATACCTGAAAATAATGTTTTAGCACGTTTTTAACATAGACTATTTTCTAGGGTATTTTGCGTTAAAAATGGACATAGACAGTGGTTTTAACATTTTATAATAATAGTTTAAAATAAATATATAGTAGTTATTTAATCATTTTTTAAATCTTTAGCCATTATAGCATTTTTTAAGCCATAACCTATCATTGGGCATGAACAACATTTTTTGTTTAAAGCCTTTTTACCTGTTGACCCCCACTCCCCGCACCCAGACTGACATTTTGGACGCAGACAGTAGTTTAAACATTTTATAATATACTTTTAAATGAATATATAGTAGTTATTTAATCATTTTTTTAATCTTTAGCTATTGTAGCATTTTTTAAGCCATAACTTATCATTAGGCATGAATAACATTTCCTGTTTGAAGCCTTTTTACCTGTTGACCCCCCACTCCCCGCACCCAGACTGACATTTAAAAAAATGTCTGCCACACATTTCTGCACTATGATTTTGTGGTGCATATTTATTGTCTCAAATAGTATAAATAACACTTATTATTTATGACTGATACTGTTTTAAAATTGTAGTATTGACTTACAGATGATGATTTAGATTTAAAAAGTTGATTAATAAAATTAATAATAATATATTATAATATTTTCAACTGAATAAATTCACTTACTTACAATTTATGATTAATAATATTTAATCACAGATCACGTAGGACATAGATACGTTAATAAAATATAATGTTATTTTTCCTCTTACCTTATGAAATGCTGCTCCATGAAAACACAACATAAATCCAAAGCGAATCACAAAGGAGCTTATTTAATAATTTTACTCCATAAAAAACATAGCACTAAGTCAGAAATCGGGCATGAGCGGTTACCTTAGATTTTTTTGAACAAGTAAATAAAATATCGAGCAGTGACTAGTTAAGAAGAAGAGGGGAACACTGGTGAAATGTCTCATCATCAATAAAATGAAAGAATAACTCGCAAAGATTAAAAAAGGGATTATGTTAAATCAGTAAGAGGGGCGCTCATTTTCACCTGGTTATAAAACAATATATAGGGGTCTTCGTAGCTAAGTGGTCAAGCCGTTAACCTCGCGCTCAGAAGATTATAGTACGTTAATTTACAACTGCGTTGTTCGACTCAAAAATATTTTTTTGGTTAGCGGAGACCTCTGAGGGCTGTTGCTGGAGCTACGGTATTCAGGCTTCGTGCTAAGCTCTCGGCATGCGCTAGCTGTTTAGTTATGTGGAGAAAGACAAAGCCATATAAAACCAGTAACGATGCAATGAAGTCAATCCACTCGCTATCGAACATTTTTAATTTAAACAATGGAATAAAGCAAATTTCGGTCAGATGTATGCACACGCACACACTCACACACACAAGTGAGAGTGCGAGAAAAAGCATTTTTCAACAAATAGAAAAAGATGCATCATAACAGGAAAGATAGATACAAAAGTATATATATATATATATATATATATATATATATATATATATATATATATATATATATATATATATATATATATATATATATATATATATTACAGTATACGTCTTGCAAGACTTACTGGATAATAATAATTAATTCATAAGGTATTTAATTAATACTGATAAATTGACTCATTTTTATGTTATTTAGGGGTAGCATCACATCATATTTTTAAAAAGGCAACAACTTTAGTTAGAGCTTGCTGCCCTGAAAGCAATGACATATGGTTGCTAAGGGGTTCAGCAAAAAACTTAAGAGTTATTGACATTAAACATGATAAATTTAGGTCCAGTTTTCACTTGGGAACACGCCGCCATATTGTTTCTGTGTTTTCCAATTATAATTTTTTGGGGGCACTTTCCGTCACTGAAATGTGAATATCTCTGCTTAGAATTGACATACAGACTTCATTGAGGTACCGTTGGAATCGGTTTTTCAACCTCTATTCAGCTGTCTTGGTTTAAAAGTAAAAAACCCAATATTTAAATTTTGACTAAAATCCCTACTATTGCTTTAACTTTACTGCTTTACTTTTAGTAAGTTTTACAGCCAGAAAATCTACTCTTTCATTTCCTCATACTCTTGCACATCCAAGGCAGTATATCCGTGTGAGTCCCTGGTTATGTGCTGATGCCAGGTATCCACTCATGCCACATTTGTCATTTTGAACCTTCAACTTCAAAATACTGAGCGAATTTTAAAAAAAAAAAAATTTGTCAACACATCTCGATCTCACCTCACCACCAACAACCAACGAACTCGAACTGGGTAAATAAATAAATCCACTTAATCGCTTTGGTTTAAAGAGAGCAAATGTAAAGGACTATATGTCGCAGCGCTGACAGTTTTTAAAAAATTACAGACGTTTTAAAACGTAATACTGATACAATAACAAAATCATTTTGAAAATCAATGCAACAAACCTGATCTCTTCAGCCATGTTTTACTGGGGGGACCACATGCAGCTTCCGGTTTTTCTGTTCATCATCATCATCCACAACACAGCTGAGTCGCGCGGGCTCTAGCCGTCTTAGTGGTGAGGGTACAACTTATCGTCAATGAAGAAAAATGAATGCCACGGAAATAACAGAGACAGTCAGATCCTTGGCAAAAAATTGTACCATGCAATGATGATATGGCACATGTTTTTCAGGTAAAAGCTGTCAACACCTCTCTCACTGTCTCTGTCTCTCTCTGTCTCTCTCTCTCTGTCTCTCTCTCTCTCTCTCTCTCTCTCTCTCTGGAAATGTCATTATTATGTGTCATGCCGAAAAGGCTGCATATGCGGTCATGATTCGCAATCGTACACGATCAGCAGAATCAAGGATCATGTCAGTGCTCTTGTCGCATCACGCACCTAACCAAGCCATCAAGGATTTGTCGCTTTGCTTTCCTCTGCCCTTTTTCAATCAGTTTTGCCAGTTGTCACCAAGTTCTCGAGTTCATGCTTTGCCTTACAATATATCTTCTGTAATTGAACGGACTGATGCAGACACACTTTCTGTATATCGTCTTTCTTCCCACTTCTCAGAATATGGTCTTGTCTGTAATTTTTATCTTCTCTCCGGGTCAGTTTTATAGATTTTTTTAAAGGGTTCTTTAACGTTTTAAAGCTCTGTGACAGGTGGAGACGCGTGAGTTTCCCTGAATCTTCCAGCGCGCATCTTCGTTTCCGTTTCTAAGAATACTATAATGGAGTGAAATTCTCTCCTTGGACTAGTTCTGTTCTATCACGGCCAGCTCCAGAATTTACAGCCGGACGTGGTTCTAGTGGACAACATTCTGATGCTTGGTTGATGACGCTGTTTAGACTGTGTAGCATAAGATGGCTTGTAGGGCTGATATTGAGTCTTTGGGCTTTTTATTTATTTAAACTACGCTATTGAAAGTCTGCACTCAGTTGAAAGCAGAGCTGCTGCCGCTGCTCTGAACTTAATTGTAACTTAACTGCCTGTACAACTGAGTGTATCCGTGGGTTGCCAGTAGGGTGAATAATCTTTATCCATCCGCCCACTTTATTGTGTGTGGGTGTGTTTTCTTTAGTAAAACCACATGTGAAAAAGCGGATAAAAGTATTTTTTAATAGGCACTAATTCCAGGGTATAAAAAATGAAAGAATTCGTTGCTCTGACTCAGTTATTTTTTAAGATTATCCGTGGGACTTCCAGAACTGTACTCCTTAAGTGTGGACAGATAATCTTTAGTTCTCGGGTCAAAGCTACACAAAAAATTATATCCGCTTTTAAGTTTGCATGTTTTGTCAAAGTTTTTCTTGCAAGATTAGTAGATTACGCTTAGGCTTCTACTCAATTGTTTCCCTCTTTGTTTTATCCTTTTTGGTTTACCGCCAGTGTTGCCACTTTTCTTTGACAAAAAATATCCAAAACGGTGTCAAAAAATATCTAAAAAGATCTAAATCTGCGTGGAAAAGATCTAGAAAAAACATCCAAATTGAAAAAGTCAAAAATTACATAGCTTTTGTTATGACTTACCCTATATAATCATGTCCTCACCTTCACTGATGTCTGCCTCACAAGATCCACAGGATAAACTTAGCTTGGATAATGCAGTTGAAGCTTCAGATCCAAAATGACCCTGGTATGCTTTAGCTGTTCAAATTTCTTTATAAGTGGAACAGTAGGCTTATTTCTCTAGTCTCATCAGGCCGAATTTTAATGGCACGATAGCATTTGAAAGGTCAAATTTCATCCTGTTTGTTTAGGTTAGATTTGATATAATTCCTAGCACTGAAAACTCTTTCTACGTCAGCATTTGAGTGGGATAGTATCATGGCAGACATGGCACTTTAAAGAGCTTACAGAATGGACTGTTTGATGAGGCATCTTTAAATTGTCTCACTTTACTCCAAAACGCTTTAGTTTCTGCTTTGTTTGTCCATTCAGCTAACTTTATTTTGGTTAACTGATAATCTGCTTTCGCGACACTATTATCAGTAGCCCCTAAAAATTTCATAACTTTACAATATTTAGGTATGTCCTTTATTGGCTGAAGTTTGTTGCTCACAGAAAAAAGTGAAATATTTTTCAAAACATCTAGATTTTCAGGAAGTCTCTGCTTCATCTGCTCCAATAATGAGATAAGGAAATCTTGATAGCGTTTTTTCAAGTTGTTCTCTTCATTCTCTGTTAACAGTCCTTTTGTTTTTAAATCATCAATTTTTGATTCGATTTAATATCCAAGGTGTGGCTTATGAGCCAAATAGCTCTCTATAGTGCAAGTGAGCAAATCAGCTTTAGAAGTTGGCAACGCCAGTCTTTTACCGAGTGAAATAGCAAGGTGAGATCATCAAGTAATTTAACTTTATCAACAAGTTAAGATTCGAACAGTTTATTAACTTTTTCGCACTTCCATTAGAATAGGTTATAAAAAGAGAATGAATGACAAATTTTTTTCATTACTGTACATTCCATATAGTATTTCAGATGTGTAGCACTTTTCACTTTGTCTTGTTATTTCAAAGTGTGTCTTCAAATTCAGCCATTGCTTCATAATTCTTTCAACAGCTGGTTAAATTGATAATCCTCTAGTTTTGCAATCTGACAGAATTTTCGGTGGTGTGGAACCATCATTCAAGGCTGTATATAATGTATTGTATTGCTGTTGTCTGACAAATGATTTGGAAAACCAGTAAAGTGTTTCAGCAATAAGGTATTCCAAATAATGATAATGCTAGCTGCAATAAATGACGCATACATTTTATAAGTATTAACGTTGGGTTAGCTTCCTTCAACTTGGCATAAACGCCATTGTTTATACCAACCATCACTGAGGCATTATCAGTACCAATTACAGCCAAATTCTTCAAACCTAACTGTTTGCTGATTAAAAGGTCCTTCAGTTCCTAAACTATACTTTCTACATCACACTTTTCAAATTGAACTAGTCCAAGATTTTTTACAAATCGATCAAATGGTCACAGTTTGAAATTGCGCAGTGACAAATTTAAAAAACATTGCGACTGATACTTCAACTTTTGATGATTCATTTATCAGTATAGTTCTGAAAACAGATGTCAGCGGTGTAATATCTTTAAATGAAACTGCGGTTTTATGCTTTTTTAGTCTCTGCATGACTCTTTGAGTTTTGTATTTTCGCTTTAATTTCACACTTGCAGTCCTTACAACAAGCTTTGGTCATATCCCAAATTTTTAATTTTGTCATCATGCAACCACTCTTTCCAAATTTTTTGCTCATACTTTACTTTTGGCATGTTGAAAGGTTTTTTTTCAAAGTGAAAGCGACATAAGAAGGTGAGCAATTATTTTTTTTAAATCACATGAAAAAGAAACGCAAAGTCAGCACAGTGAGAATACGGTTGAAACAAAGTTTGTATGATTTACGCGCGTTTTTATTAATCAGTACCGGGGCTGCCAGATATTTGTGCGTTAACCCCAGTGAGAATTCAAAGTTCAAGTAATGGCAGTTGTCACAATGTACGTGCCAGACCAAAACAAAAATATTGTAGTAAATATTTTACACAGTAATTATTAAATTGACAATGAAAGGAAAAAAATCTATAAAATATCTAACTCCATATGAAAAGAATCTAGAGAAATATTTACGATCTAAACGTCAAAAATAGTTAGTTAGTTAGTTAGTTAGTTAGTTAGTTAGTTAGTTAGTTAGTTAGTTAGTTAGTTAGTTAGTTAGTTAGTTAGTTAGTTAGTTAGTTAGTTAGTTAGTTAGTTAGTTGAGTTATCCTCATTGCACTCCGGACATGTCCATAGGTGCTCAGATCCTCCCCTCAGTATGAACCCCAACGTCCGATGGCTAATAGTACCAGTTCTATGTTGATTAACAAGTCTTCTGGCGTGTCTGGTGTGCGTCTCGTTTTTTGCTGTGCCGATCTTAATTCCCAAGTCTGCCATTCTGGCGAGTGATGTGGATTCACTGCCACCAAAGTCCTCTATCCTTCCCATTTCTCGGAGGGCATTGATAATATCAGCATGATCCAAAGGCTGACCGTCGGTAGTGATAGCGGATCCAGCCAACCTGTCAGCTCTTTCATTTCCATCGACGCCTGCGTGTCCCGGAACAAAAATAAAGGTGACTCCACGCACAGTGGACTTCTGTAATGATTCAAGCCATTGTCTTCGCACTGAACCTGCTTGAACCCTCCGGATCATACTCATTGAATCACTGAGTATACACACGCGGGTGTATTTTTGTGTTTCAAGCCAGGCAAGCGCTTGCGTCACTGCCATCACCTCCATCGTCATGCTGCTGGTTGTCATGGAGAAGGCGCCGTTGGCTTCTTTGACTGCTCTGCCCACTGAGCGTGCTGTAAATGCCCATGCGCTTCTTTTTTGGCGTATAACGGATCCGTCTGTATAGATTATTGCATCTGCTTCATCTGAATTTTCACCGATGAGAGCGTTGACCTTTGCATTAACAGCAACAGGATTCTCTTCTCTACATCGCCTGTTGAGTGTGACAATACAGGAAAATGTACAAATGAACGCCTGAGGCACAGGTATCCATTCTGCACCAGGTATGATGTCGGTTAGGCTGCATATTTGCCAAATAACATCTTCTGCCCGACCTAGCCACGATTTCCCCCTCTTCAGTCTGTCGCCCTTTTCACTAAAAAGCGCTTGATGCAGTGGGTGTTTCTTATCAGCACATACTTTGAGGTATGCCCGAGCCCTCCACATCCTGATCCTTTGGTTCATTGTTGGAAAGTCAAGTAGATACCTCATTGCTCCACAGGATGTGTCTCTTGTACATCCCAAAATAATGCGCATGGCTTCATTTTGCACTTTTTCGAGTCGTTCAATCTGGGTAGCACTGACAGTGAGGATGGCCAGAGCGTATTCAATGGGGGAAAGGACCAGACCGTAGAATAGAAGTATTAGTAGTCTTTGCTCAATATTGGAAGCAGCCATAATCCTCATTGCAGATAGACCTTTGCGTGCTTTT